GGTATTGTGCAATTGAGTCTTTGGGCTGCTGGGTCAGGGCTGGCAGCAGGACAAGAACTGCTGCGATGGTTTTGGCTGGAGGCCAGAACAGAGATACTGATCCCAGCTGTTCAGTCTCAACCCTTCACCACTGCAGTCCCTTCAAAGTCAGGCTGCTGCCTGCCCCTTCCAATGCACAGCCTTTTCACCTTGCTTCTGGCCACCTCTCGACTTCAACCAGCACTTCATTTCCCCTGGAACCCAGGTACTCTGCCCAGAGTGCCAGAAGTACAGCTCCAGAGCACAAACCTTTTAATTCAAAGTAAGAGATGATAAACAGCTAATGTATTCTGTAATATACAAAGTAAATAGAACTCAAATATTAAGGGAACATCATGCATACTTTCACCCACAATATTGGCATAGATGTCTTGAGGACAAATAGAAAAGAAAAACATCAAGAAGTGATTGTTAACTCACTCATGTTGACACAAAGCCCCATCCACTATGTTATTTTGAAGGAATTTTAACTCCATTTTAAGAGAAATTAAATAGATTTCATATTTGCCTTTAAATGTTGAAATGTTTACTATTTCTTCTCCCAGCTATAACTTCAATACCTGGGGCTGTAGGGAGCTGTTTTAAGGAAACAACACTCAATTTCCGAAAAAGCAGCATATAAGGAAGTTGTATTTTTCACATTCCTTCTGGCACTTCAAAGATGTGTAATCTCTCAATAAAGATTTGAGTGCAATTTCTCAGTAATCAAGTGTGAAAAGGTTTGTGCAGAGAGACATTTTGATCAAAGATTCTAATGTCCTCCACGGAGTTTTTGTCATCCGCACACTGTTTATGTATTTTTAAAATTTCAAAATTGCTAAAGTTAAGATTTTCAAGTATTTTCAGTCATGAGCAGATGCATTACTTGACTACAGCATAAAAACTACAGAATATTTAGGAACTTAAATCAATCACAAGTACTTGAGATTTCACAAGTGTGGTGCTCTAAATCACAATTGTTGGCTGCATAATTATTTGATGAACTCTAGAACCAAATTTATTACAGCAGGGAACTAAATCTGAGGGGGAAAAAAAAATAAATCATAGGGGGAAAAAAAAATAAATCATAGCATAAGAAAATTTCCTTGGCAAAGGGTAACTGGACTACCTAAAAGATGTTCTATTAACTATGTTTGCAAACAGAATTTTTTGTTTTATTCCTTTCCCAAGTATCAAAGTAGTAAACTAATATGTCAAGAGGAAATACTAAAATGCCATAAACATATAAACTGTTTTTCCACGATATTGTTGGAATAAAGAATGTTTTTGTTAAAACACATTCAAAGCAACTTAAACCAAAGGAATAAACAGTATTCAAATATATGGCAAACATATTCTGGTACACGTATAATGCTAAGTAGATGTAAAAATACTGAGGTTCAACACAGAAAAACAGCTGTAGTAACTACAGTGTATTTTAGCCATGTGGGATGCTAATGTTACTTGAACTAACCTGAATATGATGTTAAAATGCTGTTACTTTTTCCTCCAGATTAAGATGAGTCACTGAATGTTCTTCACAAATACTCTAGTTCATACAAAAGCTGTTCATTGAAGTCAAATTTTAACTGGAGAAGCCACACACACCCATTTCATAAGCCAGAAGCGTAATGAATCATTAATATTAGACTGCAAAGTTTGTTTTGTTTTGTTTTTGGCAGGGGCAAAGGGGGCACAGGAAGAACAGTGTTTCTGAGAAGTCAAGTAACACATAACCCCCAGACTGCAGAAGTTCAGTTCACACAAGGTCTGCTGTATCACCAGGTACAGTCACACAGGCTCTGGGCTCCTTCTGAAGACACAGTCCCTCACTACAGGAACAGAAAATACCAAGGGCTGTTACCACTGCAATCATAAAGCTGAGCTAAGGCATTCTCAGTGTCCTTTTGCTCCTAAGCAGCCACTGAAATTGTACCATGATAGAAACAAACACTTAAATAGCACCAGTAAGAGGAACCAAACAGGTAGAGCTGAGTCCAGTACCATCACAGCTATAGCCTGTTTTCAAATCTACAGCTGTGAAGTGGCTAACTAAGGTTTAATTTTATGCTTGTTCCAAAGAAACTGTAAAGCTCCTTCAGTCTCAGTGTTGTACAGTAACCTATGGCACAACAAAACTCGCTTGGACTAAATCAACAAGACCAGAAAACCCACCTGCTTCCTCTGTTTACACTTTATTTGTGTGCTAAAAGCTGTCCGTGTTTAGGCGGATGGAAACATGATCTCTAGAAGAAACAAAAAAATAAGGCCAAACCCAAGCAAAAAAATCCCAAACAAACCCAAACCCCACAGCTCAGACTGACTTTGCTCGTGACCAAGTTTGCTTGGAGGGCACAAAGAAGCAAGGGGGTATTTCAGTTTAGTATTTTAAATGAAGGAAAAAAAAGTGTATCTATCTGTCACTGCTTTTCAAAAGAACACTGAAGCTGAAAGAGGGAAATAATGCTTGGAGTAGCAGCAGTGGTGTCCTCCCCACACATGATCTGTCAGCTCCACCTAAATGCTAAACAAAGGATTTTACCTTGAGACTATAATAACTTGAAACATCTTCTAAGGCCTTACTTTTGAAACTGTCAACAGTACTTCATCAAAATACAAGTTTAAATGAAAACACTGAAGGAGATTCACCGAATGATTTCTATGCTCAAAGTTAGATGCAAACTTAGAGCCTGACTGACCTAAGGGCACAGTTAACGACAACCATAATTATGATCTTATCAACATAGAACTTCATAAAATGTTCACAGCTTATTTAAAGGACATCAAATTACAACTTCCACTTCTAAAATGCCTGTTAGAGCTAAAAATGACCAAACCCAGGAATTGCTTTTATCTTTACCTGCCTGAAACATTCATTATCTTCTCTTCATTTTATAACAGCTGTGCTACTTTGTCAGAGAACCAAAGTAAAGCTATCAGCATGTTGAAAAAAAGGATTTTAAACTAATTGTAGAGTTTTCATTAGTTGCTTACATAAATGAGTAACAATTTTCTTTATGACTGATACTTTTGAACTTAAGAGTTGGCAAACACAGCACTGAAAGGTGAAAGTATTTTAGCAAGTACAAGTTTGAAGCAATCTGTGAAAACACAGGAGAATTAATCAGCATCTCTGAAGACCACAGGTGAATTTTCTCAACACAAGCTATATCAGAAAGCCAACTGTAAATTAATTAAAGATACATTGTCTTTCACTGTATCTTTGCAACTTCAAAAATGAACATCTATTTTGCATTACTAGCACTTTGGATAGTAAAGAAGACTCAGAGGCCTTCAAACCTAATTCCTGTCCTTCCAGAGACAGCAATCTGCACAATAATATGAATTCCTAGCTGAACATATTTCTGGAATTTGCATGTATTCATGAGAAAGTGGCATGGGAAGGTTTTGGAAAAGGCAACAATGAAAAAGAAACTCAAAAATCTATTAATTAATAGATTAATAATTCATTATCTATTAATTCATAATCAATAGACGAATCTGTAGATATCTAATTATTGAAGTCATGTAATGCCACCTCAAGGAAACAAATTAAATTAAATTTATTGACTTTCTAGAAGTAAAATTTTGAAGTAAACTTACATTTATTGCTGAAATTAATTTTCAAAAGTAAAATACATAGTAACAGAGAACCAACCAGAACTGCTATTTTTCAACAAATGAAGCAGGAAATTTTCAAATGTGCACATAAATGGAACACCACTGTCTGCTTTCCACCCTATCTCCCTCTTCCAAGACAGCCCTTTTCTCTATCCCAGTACTTTTATCCAGCAAACTTCTCTGATTTCAAAATAAATACAACAAAAACATCAACAAGGTGTTGCTGGAACAAAGAGAGTACAGATAGGAAATTTATCTGCTACAACACAATGCAAAGTGATATAAAGCTGTTTTACAACAGTTGTCTGTTTTACAACCTTAATTCTAAATGTATTCATTTCTTCTGTGAGAAAATAACTACATTTTTTGATGACTCTACCACTGACTGACAGTTCTTTCCTTATAAAGTGGACAAAGGGTGGAGAGAAAAAAAAGATTTTTTCCCTTCTGTTTAGTACTTCAAATAAAACTCTTTAACAGAGATTTCAGCACTGAGATTCCCTGAACTCTCCCCACTCTGTGGTACATCCTGACAATAGTATTTCAGCATAGCTGTTAGTTAAATTCTCAGGGCAGGGAAAATGACAAAACAGAGCATCTGCTTCTGGATGGTTACAGGCTGCTTTTTTCTCTTTCATTTTTCTCATGAGCTGTAGTAATTTCTGTAGATTACAAAACATTGCAGACAGGATGCTCTCTTAGAATGACGTCTTGGTTAACGCTTTCCTAGAACAGGCAGCTAATTCTTTCGTGAAAGCACACAAATACTTTGACTGAAATATTATTTCAAAAGTTGATACTACAGAGTACGTAGCTGAGAGACTTCAGAGGTCAATAAAATCGAAGTGGTCTATTTTCAGCCCTGTTCTGTGAGTTTGACAATGCTGCTGGTAGCACCCTGCAGCATGTAAGGCACAAGGCGACAGAGCAAAGAATTCATCCACTTTTCTCTGTGAACCAAGTGAGGATTTCTGAAGCACAAAATATAATCAGCACTTCAAAACCATTAAAAAACATAATTATAACAACAATCTGTATTTCCTTTAAAATGTTATTTTTAAGCAAATATTTTGAGCATTTTAAGACAGGAAGTTGAATGCAGCAGATGATCCCTTGCCTCCAAATGCTCACAGGCACTCAGATTTACTTACTTGAATGAAAATACACAGCAGTACACATGCGATGGTAATGGCTCAAGAGCACATAGCTCATGTCACAGAAACAATACTCCGATTCACATTCACGTGAAGTAAGTCAGTAGCACTTCTTCACCGAAGTTACCATCAAAGCAGAACGCACCAACAGATTAAGAAAATAATTGTGATGATGAGAAGTTCGATACTCTTGGGTTTCAAGGCCAAATGCAACCGAGCAACCAGTGCAGTAATACTCTTCGCGACGAGAACTTTTCGGTTTCATCGCTTACAACTAAATTACCTTTAAAAACCTCACTACTTCGTGCCTTCCAATACAGTCTGCGGCACTCTCGGGCTGCAGCCAGGACGAGGACACCCAGAGCTGCCAGCATCAGCCCACGTTTTCCTGGTGACCACCTGCGCTCCCGAGCCCGGCCGGCGGCTGTGCCCCGGCCGTGTTTCTCTCAGGGCGTGTGTCACCTTCGAAACCAAAAGCGACAAAAGCAGCGCCTCCTTTGCCTACGAGCACCCGCTATGCGAGCGGCAGAAGCCGGGCTTGCAAATTTTTTTCTCTTTGCTGTTCACTTTGCTGTCACGGGCGCCCCTTCCCTGGCTGGGAAGAGCCCTGTAACACAGCAGCAGCAGCAGCAGCAAAGCCGTCCCCGGCATCCCGCCCGCTCCCCCGGCTGGCTGCGGGCGAATCCCACGGCAATCCCTCCCGGCGCTCCAGCGGGAGCTCCGCGCCCGGGCCGAGCTCACAGGCG